TGTCCACTCAACTAAACCTTCTGATACAGAATCAATACGGAAATGACTAGTAGAGATGTTATTAAGCTCAAATTATTGAGTTGGATCACAATCGGAAGTTTGAGATAACAACTATCGGAAGATTAGGACAAGAATCTTTCCGGACACTACTCCTATACTCAGGTTTTCGAGAGACCTGAACTCTCCAGTTTCTCACAACAATTCTCTAACTGCCTTTCTCTCTTTATTTTCTAACTATATATCCCCCTGATTTTGCAATAGACAGCCCCTCCTGCAAAAACCCCATTCTACCCCTGTCTCTTATTTCTCCTTACGTAAGTCAAGTGCACCGGTGGCCTATCACCTTCCCAGATCTAATCAAAGCTATGCTCCCCTCCTATGATTTCCCAATCACAGTTAAGGCACAAAATTTAGCTCGCTTGAATAAACAGAGAAATAATACTCAGATCTATTCAACATCAACTAGCATTTCAATATTCGGCAACTTAACAATCTCAGCCAACAAATCATAGTCTCATAGAGTTTATACACGAATTAGAATTCAGATTTTAAGAGAAACGTAAATATTCTTCAACAAAGTAAAACAGAGTATTAAGAGTAAGAAAAACTAAAGTTACGAGGGGAGAATCAGAATCCCCCTTTTCTAATGTTTCTTCTAAACGCTTCCTGCATCAGCAATGGACCTTCCTTCACGTTCAACACCCTGTGACGTTTCCTTCTTCTTCTTTCCAGTACTGGAGCTGGTACTTGATCAGAAAAATAGAAGTGGTTTCCTTTTCCAAGTATAGCCGCCTCTACGTTGCAAAATATGACCAAGGACACCTTCTTTCTTCTCAGCTGCAGGTACTTATTGTACCCTAATTCCACGTGGCAGCATCTGGGGAGGCCTCCAATTATTGTTCAATCGTCACCCTTCACGGACACAAGACAGCTCATTTACCAGCTAAAGTCCAGCTGTCAGCACATCACACGTATGGCCCAGCTCGTGTTGCTGGAGCAACGCAGAGCAATGCTGACCAAGATTTAATCACATTCCAAGATACGAGATGCTGCTCAAAGCTCCAAAAGACCATTTTTCTTAAACCTGAGATTAACCACAAATTGCACCCACATTAGTTCTTTTTAACGCTAATCACGAGAGAGAATTTATGAAACACAATTAACTAAACAACTATTAACAAGACTAAAAATATAGGAGAAAACTAATACTACTTACCCTCTAGGTAATAATTTAAGCCTGAAAAATGCTCAATTAACTCTATTTTCATAGAGTTATCAGCAGGCAAGTAAGAAAACCCAAATAGGCAAGGTCCAACAATAACAAGAAAAGAAAGAGAAAAGAGAAAGAGCAGGCAACCAAATTTCCCCCTAGAACATTTGGCTTTCATTATAGGGTTTCAAGAGATCCAAAAATTGTTCACAAAGAAATCCAAAAATAACAAAAACAATCTAAACCAAATTTCTGAACAAAATTAAAGCAAGAATCGCAACAGCAATACAAACTTAGATATTGTCATAACCAAACAAACCCAACCCACCCTATTTTCATAGAGTTATCAGCAGGCAAGTAAGAAAACCCAAATAGGCAAGGTCCAACAATAACAAGAAAAGAAAGAGAAAAGAGAAAGAGCAGGCAACCAAATTTCCCCCTAGAACATTTGGCTTTCATTATAGGGTTTCAAGAGATCCAAAAATGGTTCACAAAGAAATCCAAAAATAACAAAAACAATCTAAACCAAATTTCTGAACAAAATTAAAGCAAGAATCGCAACAGCAATACAAACTTAGATATTGTCATAACCAAACCCTACCCACCCCTCCAAAGGAGTGTTAATTTTCTTCTCTTTTTTTCATATTAAGAGGAACCAACAAACAAACATCAGATATTCAAATTACAAGAGATATCACCAAGAGGCAACAAACGAAAATATTGAGAAATGAAAAAACAAATAACCAGATATGCCAATCTTAAGAAATAGGTTAAAAAAATTATTACATACCTTGAGAGAAAAAACAACACAAAGCCGTATGAGGCACTCTAACGACCACTCTTCTACAAGCTAGAAACCTACTCATGATGAAAACCAAAACTCAAGGAAAATGAGTAAAAAAAAAAATGCAGAACTCTCTAGTGAGTAGTACCAAAAGAACCCCAACAAAACCGGCAGTACAGAGCCTTTGAGGCCTTTTAAAGGTCTCACCTTAAAGAGAAGACAGAGACATTAACGACGAATCATATGAATATGACGAATCATATGAATATGAATACGAATCAGACGTTAATGTTTTAAAACCACTCAAACATTAATATGAACCAGATTCCAACTCCTTAGCTAATCTGTAAGATAGAGTATGTGAATATCACGTGATTATTAAGATACTCAATATCTTAATTCTATACTTTAGATGGATACCTCATCCAAGGCCTCTTTTAGAGGCTTTCCTTGCTCCAAGGTTATGAGTTGTGCAAGCTCTTCCTTATGGGCAACTAGTAGATTGCACCTTGAAAAAAGGGAAAGGATGCGAGTGGTGAGATTGTGAAGCTTCTCAACATCAGAATGTAGCAATGTTGAGATTTTTCTTAAACCATTATACAAATAAAAATAATAAAAAAAATTACAAACTATAGACGGTCTAATTTAAAAAAAGCAAATAGATAGTTCTGACCTTTTCTTGTAATTCCTAAGTGAAAGCGGAGCAAGAAGGCCGTTTGGCTTCAGATGTTCAGGAAAAAAATAGTTTGCACTTGAAGAAAGAAGGAATAGATAGTCTTGTAGCGGAAAACTATGAGACTCTTACTTTCATCTATCAAATGTTTCAATTGCCCAAAAAAGAGGTATCGTTGTACAGGAAATAACTACATGTTGTCTTTCACGTTTTTAAATCAGAGAAAAAAGATAAATAACATAAGATAATTCTATTCACCAAATATCTATGATGAAATTAAGATCCCAATATTAAACCAATTACAATAGTTAAATATAAGACCCAAACCAAACAAGTTTTGGACCCAACAAGGAGACCATGCAACATAAGCATTCAGTATAATCCAATTTAAATTTTACGTTTCAAACATCTTGATTCCAGAAATACTAAAAGTATCTACTTCAAAAATCAAAGACTGATCAAAGTTGCTTCATTATATTGTTGTCAATCTTTAAAGCTACAATGTCAAAGAATTTACAATTTCAAAGAAAAATGAATAAAGTACTAAAATAGGATACAAAATCATGGAGCTACAACAATACCGTTTCCTCTGAGATTTGCTCCTCTAGGTAGCTCCAACATTAGTAAAAAGTTCCTTACCATTTAGCTCACATTGGCAATTCCAAAAGTCTGAGAAAAATACACTCTTTTAGGTCAATGCATTCCCATTACGCTTTTTTAGCAAGACAAAGTCATGCAGTACAACCAACTAATTTTAATTCAAGGAATTGGATATCATTCAAGAAGCCAACTTGTATTTGAGCTCTTTGAAGTGTAAAGTAGAATAATAATCAAGAATTCAGATAATCTGATCAAATTGGATTATAATTAGTGTTTGGATGTGCACATTTGAGTTATGATTTCAATTGAGAATCTATTGAGTTTGTGTTTGAGAGGGTCAAAACTTCAATTTGTATTTAGATAGTATTTTAATAAAAACTCAATGGTGATGGGAAAATTTTAATAGGTTATATGGGTGGGGTTTTATTAGTCTCTTCGTTGTGAACGCATAGAAAAAAAATTATCTCAATCGGAATTAAAACGAAAAAGTTATAGCGTTTAAGATTCGGCTCTTTTAACATTTCAAGATTTCAATGGTATAAAATATTAGATTATTCAGTTATTCTATCCATTCTCTCCCATTCCTCTGATTCTTCAATTCTTCTAACATTTCTTTACTCGTTTCTCTCTATTTCACTATCTACATTAGTGGCCCCTCTTGCTCCTGCATCACATTGCCACTCTTGATCTCCGTACAATTGTTCAATACCAAGAATTAAATGACTGCATAATAAAAGATAACGGATGGGATGAAAACTGTGTTGTTGAAATCGGAGAGATCCAAACCATTACAAACAAAGAACTCACGTTTTACGTCAAAGTCTCCCCCTATTTGTTTGTCTCCTAGACGGTCCTACTGCTCACTATAGAATGATTTGTAATTTGTTTTATACATAATTACTATAGAATGATATTAATTGCTAACAAGGTTGTCGAAAAGAAAACACTTCTGAGAAAAAAGAAAAGAAAGAGAAGGGAGATAAAATAGATACTAATAAAGCTACTAGTAATATGGCATAGCATATGCATTATAATTTATCAGTTGAGGCATGCATGCTCCTTTTGTATAAGGTTTTGTCAAGATCCAAAATTTCCAATTCAGAACAACAAGAACCGCAAAGAAAGAGAAATGGCGAGGCAGAAAAGCTCTCAAGTTTTGGGATGCACTTATTCATGAACAAAGAGAAATCAAGAAGCGACATAATCATACAAACAACAACCTAGACAAGAAGGCAATGAAGGAAGCAAGAATGAAAAGAAAGAACGACATGATAGAATAAGAGGACTACAACGTACATACGTGAAAACACCACCAAATGTTAAAATGTATGGCATGTAATATGAAAGAATACGGAGACAAAAACATTTAGAAAAATTGGAAAAAACGGATCCCGACGAACCTGTTCAACCTTATATGAACATGTGGAAAAATACATCATTGGAAGAGCTACATCCCAATATATGTACTTTCTAAGAGTGCTACCATTTAGAACTAAACCAAATATTCTATGCAAATGGTTCAATTACACTAAACACAAGAGAATCGTTAAAATCAACAATTTTTAGGTCCCTAAAAGCATGAGCATCATTAAAATTTTATCCTTTAAAGGATCCCGACAGAAGTGTAGATAGATAATTATTGGTGTAACGGATAAATGTAGGCAAATACAATATATAACATAAACATGAGTCGAATTCAACAAACAAAGAATAAGTAGGAAAGAAAATGGTACCTTGTTCAGTATGTTGCTTTTTATCCAAAACCTCCACTAGAACAGAACAAAAAAAAAATTCACAATTTACATAAGTTAAACTTTGAATTGTTTGTCCAGCTGCTATTTGAGAATCTAGAAATAACATAAAAAAAATAATAAAAAGAAGAAAGAACCCTGACTCGAACAATAGAAAATAAGTCAAATAAAAATATAGTCCATTTCTCAGCAATTGAAATAAAAGAACCAAAGCACAACAATAAAAAGCCAAATAGCAGTTCAACTTTAAATTTTAAAAAAGAAGAAGAAGAAACACAATAATAAAAAAGCCAAATTGCAGTTCAACTTCAAAATTTAAAGAAGAACGCACCAAGCAAGCATCTTTACATTCATGTCCATCTAATACCATCGACTTGTAAGTTGTGGAGAATGTTTCATCGAACCAAGTCAGAAAATGTTGTACCATTGTTTAATTGAGATCACCAAGCCTATCGATCTTTTGGGTCTCCTTGAGTATATTCCCTTGCAGTTCTATGTGCGGTGAAAAAAAAGACACTGAAAAAAACGAATCAAAGAAAACACACGGTTAAAGCATTACGTTACACAACACAAATATTAATATATCTTTCCAAAACAATAAAAGAAAAAAGATTCTATGAGAGGGAAAAAAATCACTTTTGCCAAAACACTCTTGGTAACTAAATAGAAACCCAAAATGCAATAATATAACCTAATAAAGCAGCTTCTAAACTGGCTGTAGTTTAGAATTCATAAATGATTCAGAATAGAAACCCCATAATGAAAACATCCATGTAAATGTATTGTTAACAAAGAAATAAAAGATATTTTAGAAAGAACAACACAGTCTATTCTAGATAAAATCCTTCTATTATATTGCTTTTAGTGTAGACATAGTTCATTTGCTCTTTCCTAATTTTTTTTTTTCCTTTCATCACGAATCAAAACCTGCATTAAACCAAATTTTTCTGGACAAGGCAGACAAATGATCGTGCCTACCATAAACAAAACAAAAATGTACGCAAAATATTTTATCATAGTTTATAATAGTTGAGAAAAACCCAAAACTTTCAATTGATTTTTTTTTTGTCACTTTCTCAAGAAGAATCACCCAAAAGCCACTATCTTGGACCCTGGACTTTTCATTAATCCACAGCCCAAAAACTTCACCTGAAAGGGAAAAAAATCATAATAGGAGAAAAGCTAAAAGCAAAGAAATCTGATTAAAAACAAAACAAAACAAAGAAATCCTAGGGCTGAATAGGGGAATCTCAACAAAGAAACCATACTTGGACACCAGATTCGCATGTTCCAATTACGGAGTTCTCGGGAATCCTTTCCATGCTCAGCTTTCTCTTGAGAGGATTCGACGACGGTGGTTGTGGCGGGAGTGGGCTCTTCAACTTGGCAGCGGAGATCCGGCGAGTGCTCTGGAATCGGGAGCAACGATTTCGGATCCGACAGCGGAGCGGTCTCCTTGGAGCCCTTCTGCTTTCGCGATGGCCGGAGCTTGGCGCGTTCTCCTTGGAGCCCCTCCGCTTTCGCAACAGCTGAGGCTTGGCCGTGCTAGGGTTGGGCGACGCCAGAAACTCTATCGTCGTCTCCCTCAAGATCGTGTTTCTTGGCTGCATGAAGTGCTTCATGGGTGCGAAATCTAGAAAGAAAAGGAGAGAAGTGGAGGAGAGAGAGAGGAGGAGAACGAGAAAGAGATTCAGAGGGTTTTGGATTGGAAATGGAGGAGAGGACAAAGGAGCGAGAGAAAAGGGAAAATTAGCCGTTGGAGGAGGGAGACCTTTTCTGAGACGGAGATATTTGAATGAATTTTGGGGGATAAAGCATAGGGTCTCCCTTTTATCGATTATTTGTTTGTCGGTGTTTTTAGTACTAGACTAGACTAGAATAATAGAATTTTAGTACCTTTTTTACCTCAAAAAATAATGAAAAAGAAAATTTGAGTCCGTTTCCATGAATAAATAAATAAAATGGGGTACCATACAAGTAAATTAATTAGTCACGTAAATTATTTGTTCAGATAAAAAAAATTAATTTACTTGTTCAGATAAAAAAAATTAAATTTTTTTTATCAAATTTAAGGTTTTATCTTTAGCCAAGATGATCCCAAAATTAATTAGTTTTACTTTTTTAACATTCATAATATTGTAATTTAAAAACTAAATAGTTAATTGAAATGTAGAGATGCAAGAACAGGCCGGCCCGGCCAATTCTCCTTAAGCCCACGCGGGTCGTGGACTGAGCCGGCTCAGCCACGAATTTTGTAGGCCGGGTCAGGCTGGCCCATATAAGAATTACCTCGGCGCAGCCCACACCACGGGTCAATTTTACGTGGGTCTAGCTAGGTCGTGTCGTGAGCCAGGATGGGCTGTACCATGGACCTTAAATGGGTTGGCCTATTCAAGTATGTAATTTTCAATTTTTAAATTTTTAAATTTTTAAACAAGTTGACAAATATAAAAGTTTGAATAGTCAATGAAAATATGAAAAGATATATTTTATTTACGATTTGTCTCATTAAATAAAAATATTTCTAAGGAAAACCCAGTGGGACAAAACCTTAGTAAGAAAAAAAAAGTACAATCAGGATAATTTTACCTAATATGTCTAGAAAATTACTAAAAAAAAGAAAAAAAAAACATATAGATATTATGGGCCTAGATGGGCCGAGCTTGGCTGGCCCATTATGGGCCTAAACGTCATGGACCTAGACGGGCCGGCCCAACCCTACCTAGCCCATGATTTTTCATGGGCCGTGTCAGGCTGAACCATGGACCAATATATGTTGGCTCAGCCCTGCCCACTAATATTTATAGACAAGGCCGTGCCTTGAACAGTGACGGGTCGTGCCGGCCCAACCAATCACTGTGTTAGGATGGGCCTGGGCCAACTCACGGGCCCCGACCCATTGTTGCATCTCTATTGAAATGGAATACTTCCCAATTGGATTTGATGATAAAAACCATAAAAATGAAAATGGTCTCCATGAGATCCTTGAATTTTTATGCTGTAAATTTTTGTTTTTGTGTGATTAGATTAATGTGGTAGAGCTGTCACATATATTTCTTTGTTCAAAAATAGTTGATTGTAACTTGTAAGGTACGGAGTTTTTTTTTCTTTTGTAAATATTACACACACAAATATGTTGGACTATATAGTTTGTTTATATACTCAAGGTGTACGGTGGATTCAACAATTCACAAAGTGGAATTAAATAAGAATAGACCCAATTTTCCATTAAAAGTGGGACTCCCTAAAGTGCATATTCATCCAATATATTAGAACCAACTAAGTTCAACTGCACAACTCTTATCATAAGCCAATAAAAAAATGCACAAATTCTTTGCATAAGACATTGAACCCAAACTCCAAAAATTGGTGAAAAAAATGAAAATATACATATAACTATATATATATATATGCGCAACTTGCATTAGGTAAAGACAGATCTAATTATCACTTTTTAACACGAATCTCCAAGTTTAATCCAAATGTTGAAAAACGGAAATGCTAGTCATTTGGTGAAAGCTAGCTCGTATGGATTGATAATCACTAAAAAAATTATATTAGATTTGCATTTTTATTTTTTTTCTTTTTAAAGAAAAGAATAAGATTGCGTTATGCATACTATTTTTCAGGTCCTTATATTATGTTTAGCGGTGTTATTAATAATGACGCTCTTTATTCTACGACTTTTGGCTACTATTCATGCATCATAATCAATGACAAGCGAGATCGAGAACAATCTAATACAACGTCATAAAATACAAAATATATCTTATATTCTTAGGCCTCGTTTCGCATGCTGGATTGGGTAGGAATATGAAGCTCGGAATGGCTTGGAATTGATTGGATGGGATTTTGTTAAATCTTATCCGGTGTTTGGTGCATCATCGGATTGGACTAAAATAAAATTTATGGAAATTTCTGTTGGGAATGGTGTCCTAGAAGTATAAGATGTAGTATGATATTTATTATTTATTTAATAAAAAAGTTTATTTATTATTTTATGTGCATATATTTATGAATATTTTATGAATATCAATAAAAATTCCATGGTTATTTATGTAACCTTAAACATTGTATATAAGTGTTATATACGAGAAGATAATGTTTAAGGATAATAATCAAAAAGCAATGTTCATAATGAATTTAATTAAAGTTCAGAATCTTTAATTAAAACATTATTAATACATGTCATTCTCATTTAGAATAGAACAGTATTATCCGCACTGTTAATATGGTGAGATATTGAATGAGTGTATTTCGTATAATGAGATTATGTGGAACAAGGACACAGACACAATATGAATTTTTAATAATTCCGTTAAGTATAGAAATTCTAATTGAGTCTACCGATGGTCATATATAAGATAATCTTAATCATGAGTTCTTAACAGACTTCTATTTATGGATTAGTGTCTTTTGATTTACTCGGTACGGATTCTGAGATTCTGAATCCTATTTCTTGTATTTTGGAGACATGATGAAGTAGGTAGCCGGGAATGTTATTACACGAGATGGAATCCATTCCTTCTTAAGAAAGAAGTAGCTAAATAATTCTCTTGAGGGTTGATTCGGTACTTGGACCAGTAGGAACTCCGATTCATGAATGTGTTTTATGAATCACTGTCCATTAGATAATCAATGATACTCAAGGATAAAGAAGTAATTAGAGAGGTTAACGGATTTTACCTTGCTCTAATTATGAATTATTTATGGAGGATTGATCTATATGCAATGACTATATCAAATGGACACT